TTTTTTTTTTTTTTTTTGAGATGGAGTCTCACTCTGTTACCCAGGCTGGAGTGCAGTGGTGCAATCTCAGTGTACTGCAACCTCCGTCTTCTGGGTCCAAGCGATTCTTCTGTCTCAGCCTCCTGAGTAGCTGGGATTATAGGCGTGTACCACCATGCCCAGATAATTTTTGCATTTTTAGTAGAGACGGGGTTTCACAGTGTTGGTCAGGCTGGTCTCGAACTCCTGACCTCAAGTGATCCACCCACCTTGGCCTCTCAAAGTACTGGGATTACAGGCGTGAGCCACTGTACCCTTTCTCCGTTTTTCTGTTTAAATGTTAAAGACTGTTGGGGCTGACCTGTTGCAGAGTCACTCTTCTCTGTGGTTTTGGCAGGAGACAGGGTGCTGTCACAGAGCTGGGACTTCAGCCCTGAAAGGGCAGAACCCAGTCTCTTCTAGAGCGAGTGGAGCACCCTAGATAGGATGGGGCTTTCTCTGTTATTAGATCCTGTCTGAGGGGTTCACATGCTTTATCTAGACCCCCTTGACAGCTAACTAAAAGCCAGTTATCTGTTCACCCTTAACCCTTTGCCCTATAAGCTGATCTAATTTCTTGCTCTCTGGCTTTAACATTTGTTGAGGACTATTGCCCAAACCTGTTAAATATGTATCATAATGATTAAAAATTTTCCAACTTCAGCACTCCTTCTAGTGCATTAATTTTCATATCTTCATTAAAGAGACAAAAACCCCTTACTTGTAATAAGAAGATCTAATTTCTCTCCTGATTAGAGGATCAGTGTAGAGGGTGCTCCTTGGAGTTTAACACTACTATTTCAGAGTAGATCTTAAGTATTTCCCAGAGCAACCTCAGGGCTGGGTGGCGATGGAGGAGGACAGATGTTGGAAGGGGTTGAGTGGCAGGCAAAGGGTGAATGTGAACAGGAAGGCTCCAGTCTTTCTGTCCTGCTTAACACAGGGCAGCATCTCTGTTTTAATCTGCTTTTTATTTGGGTTCCACATTTGATTATTCGTGGCAGTGATTTGCCAACTCAAATGCCTGTAGGGCCCAGGCAGGCAGCATAAGTCAGTGAAGTGGGCTGCTTGGAGGCTGAGGCTAACTGGAGACCCCGTGCCCTTACCCTGCTCCCACCCGTTGCTGCCATCTAGGAATACAGATCCACGGTTGCCAGATCATTTTTTTTTCTTCCAAATGAAGCTGGAAACCCACATTTTCATGTGACTCTCCTGACAAATGTTGCAGCTACTTCCAATTAAACAGTACACATCCATGGGCTAGATTTGCCCTGTGGTCTATCAGTCATTGTCTCAAGTCCTCAGTGGTTATGATACAGTTGGTACCATATTCGCTAACAATTTATTGAACAGTGTGCTAAAAGCTCTGTCACCCAGGCTGGAGTGCAGTGGCACGATCTTGGCTCACTGCAACCTCCACCTCCCAGGTTCAAGCAATTCTACTGCCTCAGCCTCCTGAGTGGCCAGGATTACAGGTGTTCACCACCACGCCTGGCTAATTTTTGTATTTTTAGTAGAGACAAGTTTCACCATGTTGGCCAGGCTGGTCTCAAACTCCTGATGTCAAACAATCCATCCGCCTCAGCCTCCCAAGGTTCTGGGATTATAGGCGTGAGCCACTGTGCCAGGCTGCATTCTCTTATTTAAATCTCGTAACTAGGCCAGGCACGGTGGCTCACACCTATAATCCCAGCACTTTGGGAGGCTGAGGAGGGTGGATCGCAAGGTCAAGAGATCGAGACCACCTGGTCAACATGGTGAAACTCCGTCTCTACTAAAAATACAAAAATTAGCTGGGCATGGTGGTGCATGCCTGTAGTCCCAGCTACTCGGGAGGCTAAGGCAGGAGAATTGCTTGAACCCAGGAGGCGGAGGTTGCGGTGAGCCGAGATCACGCCATTGTACTCCAGCCTGGGTAACGAGTGAAACTCCGTCTCAAAAAAAGAAAAAAAAAGAAAATCTCGTAACTATCTGAGGTAGATCAATCTTTTGTTTTTTGCAAGTAATAAAACAGATTAAGCAAGATTAAATCATTTGCTTAAAGGCACATAGCTAGTAAGATGAGGAGCTGGGATTCAAACTTAGGCCACATCCCTGACCGTGTCTTCAGTAGCGCACCAGCCTGCCTTCCAGGTGGCAAATTAGCCACAGTTTGGGATGTCAGCACAGTTTTGGAGAGGGCAGCTTGGGCCAACAGAAAGAATACTGGATTGAGTCTAAAAACCTAGGTTCCTGCCTCAGCCCTGACATTTACTATTTTTATAATCTGAAAAAAGTTAAATCTCTGGACCTCATTTATATATTTTAATTAATAAAACTGGGGCAGTACTCCTACCTACCCTGCCTAGCCTTGAATGCTCAATAATTATTTGTGGTTTAATTAGGATCAAAAGTATCTGCACGTCCCCTTTGGAAGCCTTTCCTAGCTCCCCCAGGCAGAATTAGTCTCTTCCATATGCTCCCCCAAAACTCTGTTTCTGCCCATTACAGCATTTCTCCAGGTATATGTACACATGTTGTTCCAGAAAGACACAAGGTAACTTATATGTCTGTCCAGTGCTCTCTTCCTCTATAGATAATGACACGCGTTCTATATCCCAAGTGTCTCAAGAACAGAAACCATGCCAGTCATGGTGGCTCACGCCTGTGATCTCAGCACTTTGGGAGGCAGAGGCAGCTGAATTGCTTTAGCCCAAGAGTTCAGGATCAGCCTGGGCAAGATACTGGTACCCTGTCTCTATAAAAACTTAAAAAATTAGCCAGGCATGGTGGTGTGGGCCCCTAGTCCCAGCTACTTAGGAGGGTGAGGTGGGAGGATTGCTTGAGCCAGGAGGTTGAGGCTGCAGTGAGCTGAGATCATACCACTGCACTCTAGCCTGGGTGACAGAGCGAGACCCTGTCTCAAAAAAAATAAAGAGTAGAAACCAAATTTTATTATCATTCCCACAATATCTAATTACAGTGCTTGGCACAAGTAGATGGTATCAGATATTTATTGAATCAATGATTGAGTTAACCCAGGAAATCTCATCGGAGAGTGTGTATTGCCTTGGTTCTCCACTGAGAAAACAGCAGCCCCTAACCTCCTGGCCAATAAGAAGTCCTCCTCTTAGCCTTCCTTAGACGCCTATCAGGGAGGGATTCTTTGGGTTCAGGGTCACATTTTTTAATCCTGTTGTCTTTTTTTTCTTTTCTTTTTTCTTTTTTTGAGTCGGAGTCTTGCTCTGTCACGCAGGCTGGAATGCAGTGGTGTGATCTCGACTCACTGCAACCTCTGCCTCCCCGGTTTGAGTGATTCTCCTGCCTCGGCCTCCCAGGTAGCTGGGAATACAGGCGCACATCACCACACCTGGCTAATTTCTGTATTTTTAATAGAGACAGGGTTTTGCCATGTTGGCCAGGCTGGTCTTGAACTCCTGACTTTAAATGATCCACCCGCTTCAGCTTCCCAAAGTGCTGGGATTACAGGTATGAGCCACCGTGCCTGGCCCTGTTGTCTTTTTTTGTAACAGATGGTCATTTCAGCTCCTGGCTAAGGCCACAAAGTGAAGTGTCCTTTATTCACTGATTATTGTTTGAGCAAGGGTGCCCTCCTCCCCTTTGCCAGGCTGCTGGGAGTGCGACAGATATGGCCTTGGCAGCAGTGTCTTGGAGTGATTGTGAATAAGGGCTGTTTTCTCTCCTGTCTCTCCCAGTGTCTGGATGCCAGCCGCCCATGGCTCTGCTATTGGATTCTGCACAGCTTGGAGCTGCTTGATGAACCCATCCCCCAGATAGTGGCTACAGAGTGAGTCTGGCTTTGGGAAATCTGGGGTGTTCTCTGAAATTGCATTTTGAGTTCCGGATTTTGTTTTGCTTCTGTTTTACTTGTTTGGAATGGAAAAAAAAAAAACAGTACCACAAACAAATCCTTGCCCTTCTCATGACCTCCAGCAACTTCCTGAAACTCCTTCGTTTTAGAAACCTAATGTAAGCTGGTGGGTAGAACAAGACTTTGAACTTCCAAGAGAAGAATTCTGGCTTCTTCTGTGGCCTTTTCTTTTGGCTCTTGACTCTGGTCTTTGAGAAAAGTCTTTATCATCAACTCTGAGAGACATGATTTTGCCAGAAAGTACAGTATGCATTTGAAAAGTTTCTGTGGGGAAGCATGTGGCAGTCCGGTGTATAAAAATGCCTTTGCCTTTCCTACACACCTCTATAGAAGTACCTCCTCCCCGGTGCCTGGAGGGACCGTGCAGCTCTTGATGAGACTGGATGTGTTACTGGCATGGCATAAAAATGCCATGACCCTCAGTTTTCCTAAACCTGATTGATGATTAGAGATCCAAGCAACTGATCTTCTTCCCAAGCTCCTTGTACAGATGGCATTCTCGATCTGGTACATCATTCCCAAACACTCTTCACTATTTATATATTAAAGAAGAAAAGACTGATCATGACTCCAGTCCTAGGGATACCTGGGCTAGGAAAGGGCAGCCAGGAATTAGATCCAAGAGATCTGCTGAGAGGCAGCATGGGCTCTGGGCAGCATGTCGAATTTCTCGGCTTCCCCTGGTGCTCCTGAAGGTGAGGCATCTGGGTTGAGAGACTTCTGAGCCAGGTTCGTTTCTCCACAGCACAAGGAGGCAGCTGTGCTGGGACACACAGAGGCTAGCTAGGGCCCCTCTCTGGTCACAGAGCCCCTGCCTTGGTCACATTGTCAGGTCAGAAGAACAGAACTGCACATTGTCTCATTCATTCTGTCTTAACAATAACATCTCATTCTTGCCTTCCTGGGCAGGGTGTCTTGTGATGAATGTGGATGGGGAAGATAATAAAGAATTAGCCCATTAACCCTTGTGGTGTGTAGGATGCTTTCTGAGGGAGAGGCAAGTGCATTGTTTTGATCATTGGGATGCCACTGCAAGCCTGGCTGCTTCCAGCACTAGAAGGAGAGTTGGACACAATTTCTGCAGTAACAGGAATTTAATTGTTAAAATAAAGGCCCATGTATTGTCTTTTTTCTTTTTCTTTTTCTTTTTTTATTTGAGACAGAGTTTCACTCTGTCACCCAGGCTGGGGCGTGGTGGCACGATCTCGGCACACTGCAGCCTCTGCATCCCAGGTTCAAGCGATTCTCCTGCCTCAGCCTCCTGAGTAGCTGGGATTACAGGTACCCACCACCATGCCTGACTAATGTTTGTATTTTCAGTGGAGGTGGGATTTTACCTTGTTGGTCAGGCTGGTGTTGATCTCCTGACCTCAGGTGATCCACCCACCTCAGCCTCCCAAAGTGCTGGGATTACAGGCATGAGCTACCACATCCAGCCTCGTGTGTTTTTGAAATGCCAGCTGGGGGCCTGGGGATTGTTTGGGAAGTTTTTCCTTCACTCCTACACAATCAGGATATTTGGAAAGTTTTCCTTTCACTCTTATACAATGGGAAAGTCGGCTGTGAGAGAAGAAAGAAGAAATGGGGGATTTTTGTGAGCCTGAGTTCAAACGCTGGATGGAGGAGGCCGCAGACCCGTGAGAGACTGGAAGAGAGAATCACAGTGGGTGCCTGAGGTAGAAGAACTCGAGCCAAAATTGCCTGAGTGTTTTCTAGGCTCTGTACTTGGTGTTTTATAGTGAGGGCTTTTCTGAGGAAGTGTCAGTGCTGCTTTTGGGACAATGCCACATAGGAAGAGAGTAGCCCTTAAAGTCCTTCACCAGAAGCAACCTAAATTAAATATCAACAATAGGGAATGCTTATAAACATTTTTTTTTTTTTTTCCCATTTATTTATTTTATTGCATTTTAGGTTTTGGGGTACATGTGAAGAACATGCAAAATTGTTGCATAGGAACACACATGGCAGTGGCTTATAAACATTTTTAAATGTAAAGCTGGGTGTCATAGGTCACTCCTGTAATCTCAGCAGTTTGGGAGGCCGAGGCAGGCGAATCACTTGAGGTCAGAAGTTTGAGACCAGCCTGGCCAGCATGGTGAAACCCAGTCTCTACGAAAATACAAAAATTAGCTGGCTATGGTGGCACATGCCTGTAATCCCAGCTACTCGGGAGGCTGAGACAGGACAATCACTTGAACCCAGGAGGTAAGTGGAGGTTGCAGTGAGCCAAGATCATGCCATTCCAGCCTGGGCGATGGAGCGACACTCCATCTCAAAAATATAAATAAATTTAAAAAATAAAATGTAAGTCAGTTATGGTACAGTACATTCAGTGAAATACTATACAACCATTAAAAAAGTTATAAATATGGTCAGGCCTGATCACAGCTGTAATCCTAGCACTTTGGAGGCCAAGACCAGAGGATCACTGGAGCCTAGGAATTCAAGACTAGCTTGGGCAACATAGTGAGACCTCATCTCAAAAATGAAAAATAAAAATAGCTGAGTGTGGTGGTACACACCTGTAGTTCTAGCTACTCAGGAGGCCGAGGCAGGAGGGTCACTTGGATTCAGGAGTTTAGGGTGCAGTGAACCATGATGGCACCACTGCATTCCAGCCTGGGCAACAGAGCAAGACCCTGTCTCAATAAATCCATAAATGTGTATATTTATGTTAAAATGCATGTATTTATATAGAGAGATGTGAAATGAAAATAGTCTAGAAGATTTAATTTACATATATTAAACATATAGATGATTATATGCATAGAGAAAACCGGAAAGATACATACACACATAGTACTTACTTCTCGATGATGGGGTTAAAAGTGATTTTATAAACTTTTGGGGCCGGGTGTGGTGTCTCATACCTGCAATCCTAGCATTTTGGGAGGCCAAGGCTGGCGGATCACCTGAGGTCAAGAGTTCAAGACCAGCCTGGCCAACTTGAGGAAATCTCATTTCTAATAAAATTACAAAAATTAGCCAGGAGTGGTGGCGGATGCCTGTAATCCAAGCTACTTGAGAGACTGAGGCAGGAGACTCGCTTGAATCCTGGAGGTAGAGGTTATGATGAGCCGAGATCATGCCACTGACTCCAGCCTGGGCGACAGAGTGAGGCTCTGTCTTAAAAAAAAAACAGCAAAACTTTCTAGCTGGGTCTAGTGGCTCATACCTGTAATCCCAGGACTATGAGAGGCTGAGGCAGGCAGATCTCTGGAGGTCAGGAGTTGAGACCAGCCTGATCAACATGGTGAAACCCCGTCTCTACTAAAAATACAAAAAAATAGCTGAGTCTGGTGGCTGGCACCTGTAATCCCAGCTACTCGGGAGACTGAGGCAGGAGAATCGCTTGAATCCAGGAGGCAGAGGTTGTAGTGAGCTGAGATTATACCACTGCACTCCAGTCTGGGCAACAGAGTGAGGCTGTGTCTCAAAAAAACAAAAAAACCCCACAACTTTTTTTCCTAAGCTTATTTGGATTTTTTGAAATTTCTACAACAGATCCTTTACTGTTTCATAGTTAAAGGAATGGCTTAGAAATAAAAGCTGATTTGTCCTCATTTCAAAAACCACTTGACAGTTAATGAGAGTTTCTGTTTCATAGGTGCCTTAAAAGCTTTACCTGTGGTTCTTCTAAACATTGATTTAATGAATTTTAAATATTTCTTAGACTTTCCATTAATGTATTTTGCTTTGTGCCCAGGAGGTAGTTACTTCTAGATGCAGATAACACTTGTTACGAACAAAGCCTGGTAACTCTGACCCATAAGGAAATAAACTATTTTTGTAAGATACAGAGTAATCTTAAGGACTTCTATACAAATAGAAGACTTTTTAGACTAGCTGAAATAGAATATTGCCTTTTTATTTATCTTGCACAGGGAAATGAAATGCTTTGAAATGCGTTCAGTTTTCTTTCTTCATACAAATATATTAAGGTGACCTAGTGCAGAAAGTCGAGCTCTACAGTTGTATTATTTTCCTGCCTTCTTCTTTCCCGTGCATGCAACACACACGCCCCCTACACTTATACAAAGGTTTCTCTTTCCTATTTTGTTCACTGCTCTGCTTCTGTTTGTTTAGGGAACAGTATGATAAGCTGGGTTCCCTCTAGTGGACAAAATCACTTTTGTCAGCTGCTATGACTGCTGACCAAAGCCAGCAAGGCTAAATTGTTACTGCTGGTATCAGAGGTTTCAAGAATAACGTATTTATAGCCGGGAATGTTTTCTTTATTTTTGGTAGAGACAGTGCCTTGCTGTTTTGCCTGCGCTGGTCTCGACCTCCTGGGCTCAAGTGATCCTCCTGCCTTAGCCTCCCCAAACACTGGGATTATAGGTGTGAGGCACCATACCCAGTCCATAGGTAGGTAGAACTTTAGTTTGCCTCTTTGTTTTGTTTCGTTTTATTTTTTTATTTTTTGAGAAGAAGTCTGGCTTGCTCTGTCGCCCAGACTGGTACACTGGTGCAATCTCGACTCACTGCAATCTCCACCTTCTGGGTTCAAGCAATTCTCCTGCTTCAGCCTCCCAAGGGGCCGGGACTACAGGCACGTGCCACCATGCCTGGCTAATTTTTGTATTTTTTGTAGAGATGGGATTTTGCCATGTTGACCAGGCTGGTCTTGAACTCCTGGCCTCAAGTGATCCGCCCACGTCAGCCTCTCAAAGTGCTGTGATTACAGGCATGAGCCACCCGGCCTAAAGTAGCCAATTTCCGACTTGACCATTCTTCCAAAACAGCCATCTAGAGACTTGCCAGCGCTTGATGAATGGTCAAATAATACGTCTGACTCTGTGAGCGGCACAGGCCACCCAGAATCAACAAGATATGCTGCCCGTCTTCACCTGTTCATTGTCGTACGCTACCTAGGGAAGATTTCCTCTTCACTGTATCAAGCTGAAGCTGAAGCT